GTCTCCCTGCATGATCACACACAACTTCTCAAGTCTTCATCCGAAGGTTGCACTGCTGACTCTTCCTTTCCTGTGAAATATTTTCTACACAGCAGCCCTACAGACACTTCACGGCTTTCAACCTCAAGTGGATCCACCATGCAGAAACCAGTAACTCAAGTGAATTTTCATCCTGTTAAAACAGAGGTGACTACGGATCTACTGAGACCACATAGCCACATTGGATACTTTTTTCAGAAATTAGTAATCTAGAGTGCATGTGTGAAATTACAGTTCCAAGCCTCCATTTTACATGACCTTCAGGGTTAAAAGGGGATAGAAAACTGCTGCTTGGAAAACGATGCTATTTCTGGAGATACTTTGCTTACTGAAATTGCTATTTTATTTCTAATGAAAATTCATAATACATCATTTATTTCCTCTCCCGTTTTAAATGCACTCCACCCCTTCCTACTCTATTACTTTGCCTTCTGAATGTAATTTAAGAATGTTGGAACAATTTGGTTCTTCATTCCAAGTAACTGATAACTGAAACTGTGCATTATTTAAAACAACAACAGTAACCAGTTACCATTCAAAGGCTATACAATATTAAAAATCCTCTTTAATATTCTAGTTTATAACCTTAATACACATTTATACATGATGAATGAGGCTTTTAGGAACTGTTGCTGTCACATCTTGGGTAATGCCACCTCCAGTTAATATTCCAAGGGAAGGGTCTTTCTGGCAGTGCCTGAGTGACACCTGTGAAGAAGCAGGCTGCAATGTACTTTCTGACAAGAGAAACAGAACCCAAAAGGAAGTAAAATTCTCTCCAATAGAATTGCAAAATACTTAAAAAGCAGAACATGGAAACTGATTACATTTGGGCGTATTTTATACTACAGATTCACTAACAAACAGCTGATAAAGGGTTTCTAAATGCAATCCCACTGTCACACTATGGCAAATGAACAACTTAAGTTCTCAGATATAAACACATGGATGAGTAATGCAATTCCTAATTACATCAAGAACACATAATTCTAGGACACAATACTGCAGCTTTCAGTACCAAAGAGAGCTATTGATTCCGGACCCCTGAAACACAAAGAAAATAAACTGCAAAAGCATACACAAAAAATGACCACAACATTTTTTTGCTACAACAACACAACTAGCTAAGCCTTTTTAGCTTAATGAAAAAGAGACTGAGAGGTGATTTCATACTCTATACAATTTTACAGTCTGTATTTTACAGTTTTTTTTATATGAGTGGACTACTAGATCAGTGAAAAACTAGCTGGATGTACTCTAGGTGACCCTGCTCTGGCAGGGGGGTTGGACTAGATGATCTTTCAAGGTCCCTTCCAACCCCTAGGATTCTGTGATTCTGTGAATGTTGGGATCAAAGTGTGATAGTTACTCGTTCATGCTCTGTCTGCATGTCAGTTACATGTGGAGCTCCTCACTGCCTATTCTGCAACCAGTCCTTTTCAATATTTTTATCAATGACTCAAAGGAGAAATCAGAATTCGTCCATATCATGATTGTAAATGACACCAAGCCTGGGGGTTGCAGTCAATACACTCATAGGCAAGGGTGGACTCAGGGAGACCTAGACAGGCTGGAGGAATAAACAAAGCCTTGTACCTGGGAAGGACTAACGCTCTCATAATGTACAGGCTGTTGACTGGTCCTGCTGTAGTTCTGGTGGATAAACAACGAAACACGAGGCAGCGGGATGCCTACAGTGATGAAAGCCAATCACATCCTGAGCTGTATTTATAGGAACACTGCAAATAGACTGAGGGAAGTGACAATTCCTAGTTACCTGGTACTCATTATATCATGCTTGGAACCCTTTGCCTAATTTAGGGTCCCAAATATAAGGGCAAAACTGATGAAGTTCAGTGTAGGGCTATCAAATTAACACAGACTGAAGTGCTTGTCCCAGGCTTGTTCAGCCTGAAGAAGAGAAGGCTCTGTGGGACTTCTCAGCAGCCCCTCAGTAGGTACAAGCAAGTTGCAAAAAGATGGAGAGCAAGGCTCTTCACAGCAACACATGGTGAGGAGATGAGTAACATCCAAAATAAATGGAAGCAAAGAAAGTTCAAACCAGATATAAGTGGACAGTCAAGCAGTGGCACAAGTTGCCCAGAGAGGCCATATAGTCTCCATGGAGTTTTTCAATACATGATTGGACAAACACCTAAGAAATCTTGCCTAACCCCAAAGCCCATCCTGATTTGAGTAGGATTTTAACCAGAGAATTCCTGAGGTCCCTTCCACTCCGAATAATTAAGCAAGTCTATGAAGATAGGTACGTACTGACAACTTCTTTAATTAGTGTACTGGTTTGAGCGTACCAGGATAAAAATTGCACATGACCAGACTTCCTGGACATCCCCCCACAGCTGCCAGGCTGTGGCTGTGGCAGCTACAACGGGTGGAGCAGCTGTGCCTGTGTCAGGGGACTCAAATGGACCAATCACAGTGTCCCTGCCCATGGTGCTCTGTACAAAACGGCTCCCAGGAGAGCTCTTCTCTGGTTGATGCACTGGCTGGGTTGGGGTCTCTTTCTCTTTTTGCTCCCTCTGTTGCTGGTGTTCCTGCATCTGGTTTTCTTGGCGACCTTCCCCTGCCTTTCTGACTAAGAGTGGTGTGGCTGCTCCAAGGCTTTTGTGAACTGTCAGTGGGATGCTGGACTCATACACCCCCCCCCTCTGCTGCCAAGTCCACTTTGTGACTTTTTTGTTTGGGAAGTAAATACCAAATGAGGAGTGTGGGTTCCATATTTACATATTTGTATATATTTGTATATTATTCACCAAAATTATTATTATTACTATTCATTATTTCATTAAATCTATTCTAGGGTGGGTTTTTTTCCCACCTTAAACTCTCTCTCCCTTATTCCCCTTTTTATCTTTCCCTGGGAGGATAGTAGGGGATAACAGGGTATCTGTCACCTAGATATTGGGTAAAACCACGACACTTAGTGGAGAAAAGTATGCTAAGAGCAATTTCCTTGAATCTAAAACCAGATGAACTTGAAACTTTCTAGCACTGCCTGTGATTAATGAAAGAAACTAGTGCCAGAAGATGGTAGAGGCCTCTCCACTGTTGCTGTTTTCAAATCAAGGCAAAACACTGTTGTGTGACATTTTTTACTCAAGTATACATTAAGACCTTAAAAAAGAAGTAAATTGTGTGTAAACCATATTTCACCATAGTGAAGTACAAAACAAGAACTTGGATAGAATGATAAAAGAGCTTTAAGTCGCTGCCCATAACACCTTCTAGATGAGGAAAATGGTTAAATAAATATCTTAACTGACCTTTGCTTTTAACCAACCGAGATTAAATCATGCCACATCCAAAAATTAAAAGAAAACTGATACACAGAAAAATACCAGAAGGAGTTACTAACTTTATAGAATTCTGCGTCATTTTCTAGTGCAAGACTTCTTAATAGGTAATGGGTTTTGCTCTCTGGGTTGCAGTTTAGATTAATTCACACTGAGAGTTTTAAGTCATTTCAAATAAGATGTAGCAGCAACTTCCAAGATTTGTATTGAGCTCTCTGTAAAAACAAAGGATTCTACACACAGAAGAATTTAAAGCAGCATGCCTTTATCAATTGTGGACACAATTAAAATAATTAAGGCAAGGCAGCATAATATTCTAAAAGCAAGAAGGTGAGACTTGTATTTGCTCAACTTTTAAGAACCAAACAAAACCAGTACTTTTCTGCCTACGATATCATTAGTTTTCAAGTATGTAGCCAGCACCCCTTCTGTTTCCAATTTAACATGAAACCCATTAGTGTTTCACTTTAGAATGAGTTCACAGAGTTACTGCACATTAAGGCAGAATTTTAAGTAACTAAATAAATTTGCATTGTACTTGGCACGTAACTAATTCAGAGATCTATGTAGTACACACTGAAAATCTTTACTTGTTCTTTCTTGTAATTTAACTTGGAATCCAATTCTGTTTTGAAATGAAGCACAAATTCGTCACCCAAAGTTACATGAAAGAAGGTTGATATTTTAAACAATGCCTTTTTAAAGTTACCAGATTATAAACTAGTGTTTGAACAGCTTTTAAAAGGCTGAAGCACCTTTCCTCAGGAAAAAAAAAAATAATTAAAAAGAAAGTTAAAAAGTAACAAAAAATGGGAAATCCAGCATCCTCTAGCCTCACAAAAGTGAAGTATCACTGCTGAACAACTTTAAGGCCAGGAAAGAAGTTACTCAAATTAAGAGTAGTGGTTATTCCAAGACCGATTATAAAAAGTGCTAGTGATATAGCTGCAAGTCTATGCCTGAAGAAAGAACAGGAAGATATTCCAGCTCTAGCAACCCACCAGCAACTAGAAGGATACAGATTCAAACTGACAGTATACAGAGATTGATTTTCTGTGTTCAGTCTTCTAGGACAATAAGCATAGAGCCAGAACTAATAATCTTCACAAATAGGCAAGAAAAGAAATTCATGTGTTTGCAGGTTTGGGCTGTGTAGGCATTTATATAACCAAATCAGAACCCCATAAAACATTTCACAGAGTGTTTTGCTGCTACATTTACGCATCATAGAGCAGGTTTCCACAACTATCCGACATTCCACAAATAAGGTACCACTGTAATAATAATATTAAGGGCAAATCTGAAATGAGACGTTAAGTTTTTATTAAAAGTAAAATCTTACAGGGCATAGATCAACCTTTAAAATTTAGAAAACAGAGAAAAAATTAGTAAGGTGGGGTTTTTTATTGCTCTTTTTTAAAGCTCAGAGATGAGAGGAAAATCAAGTAACTGGGGCCAGCAATCACCTCATCATCAGTAAGAACATGGTAAGGAAGATTGCTGAAATCTACACCTTGGGAACTATTTCTTACGTAAGCCAAACAAGATATATTTAAATAAAACCAATTATATCTGATCTGCATTCGCCCACTCTGATACAAATCATTCAACATGCCATCCATCCCCCAGCCATTACTTCCCTCCTACCTTCAAAACTCCCAGCAAACAGGTAAATCCACGTAATGGCTGGGACAAAAAGGACAGTCAGAGAGGCAGCCAGGAATTTCCGTCGCCCTCTGCAGATTCCCAGCATTCTCTCAGGAGTGCAGATTCCCAACCCAGGGCTGTTCCTATGTCGGAAGCAAATAGTCCACAGCCTCCCACATATTACTCCCTGAAAATGAAAGGAAAAAAGGTCTTAGCAGCTTATCTCTCTACAGAAAGGTAGCCTATGTCAGTGCTCCTGAAGATTTAAAAGAACAAGGCTAAAAAACAGGGTTACCACAGTTGTGAAGCAGTACCCATTTTAACATTATCCATGGATATTTTACAAGAAAGCAAGTTTTAGAAATCAGACTAAGATAGTAAATCAACAAAACACATCATAAAAACACACGCAGAGCTAATATTACAAAAAAGACATCACCTTCATTTGTTTTTTCCACTACCCTTTTACCCTACAGAAACTCTGGGTTCTTTGATGCATATGTGTGGTGGTGGCAGTGGGCAGATAAGAAAAAGCTATCTGTATTTCTTCACCTGCTCCCAAAGAGCAAAAGTCACACCAGTGAATCAATGAGCTGGCTGCAGGTGGTCATGCACTCAGGAGTGAACTGAAAAGTAAAGGTAAAGCTTAAGAGCAGAGAGATGTTATGAAAATGGCCCACTTAGCTCATCAAAAAGCAATGCTGATGAACTGCTATATAAAAGTGGAGAAGAGGTTGAGAAAATGGGCAAGGAAGCTTTCTTAGTCACAAAAAGGGATATCAGGAGCTTTTGACTGTATGCTATGAGCAAGAAAGGGATTCTGGAGAGTAACACGGTTTTATGAGGAAGAAAAAGAGTTGTTTAAAACAACTGTTCTACATTGTACAGAGGCCAAGATGACAAAATAATCTGGTAATTTTTATTCATAGGAAAATGAATACTCCCACAGCAGCACAGGCATGCAGGGCATAAAGTTCGCGTTTCACAACTTTTTCTTCTTTTTTTTAAAAGAGAGAAAAGGCTAGTGTTAGACTAGAGAAGTAGGAGAATGAAAGCAAGGTATTAAGTCCATGCGTATTTAGCTAAGGTTTTGTGTGAAAGGGCTTATGTTTTCTAATTAAAATAAATAAATGGCCTACAAGAATGACAGGAAAAGAAATACACTCTCTGGTAGTACAAGGTGTTTAATAACAGAGCCCTCTGGCTTTGTGCTTAGAGTAGCACTAAAGTCGAAATCAGTGCTTAAAGCATTTCTACAACGAAATATTAACAATGCCTACTGTGTGCCTTGAAAATATGTCTGAGTTCTACAGCTCCACATATTTCAGTGAAAGTAAATTCTGAAATCAAATTACAGCAAAAATGAGGATTATAGACAAGAGAAATGGTTTCAGACAAAGAACTCTGTTACTGAAGATACCTGGGTCAGTAATCAGGCAAACTTACAGCTGTTCCTCGACCATTCAATAGGGCCCTCTTTATTACACTACAGTTTAAGAGTCATGATAGTACTCCTGACCTTGCAACTGATAAAATGGACTATAATTTGTCCAGAGTCAGCACAAAAAGCATTCCATTGTGTCAGCTTTTCAACACAATGAATGCTTCACCATAGAGATTTTGCACAAAATATGTGGACAGACTTAATATTAGAGTCACTGTGTTAGTCAGAGACACACATTTGGTAGAGATAAATTGTGTAGAACTCTTATCATTGTTCACCGTGTTTGGATAATGATTACATTTCATTTCTTTTCCTTACATCACATAGCTTGTACAAGTACTCCTAAGAGAATCCGTTACTTGCCTACTTGAAAAACACTGATAATTTTTCTGGCTTCTATGTTTACACTTGCCAGACATGTGTATATTTTGAAGTGCACAGAATCTCTTTAAGTAGGAAACTTCCCCACTCCCCCTTTAAAGTCATGGTGTGCACCAGTGACATCAATCTCTGCATGTAAAAATAAATCCTTGAAAAAATAAACTAATGGGGCTATTCTCAAATAGCCACATCTTGTAATTCAACAGGCACTGGATACATACTGCTCCTATCAATGATACCTGTAAAACACATCGTAAACTCTACATGTTTCTGCAATCCTGCTGTTACAAGTACACTGATAGAAATTTTTGGGATAATGGAACCCAGACTTTGAAACTTGACGTTATAGTGCTGGTATCAGATTAATTCATCCTGGGGCTGCATATTTAAGAAATATTTAATTTTTTCCTATATATCCTTTTATATATCCATGCAAGTTAAGTTTCTAAACACGTTGACATGCAGAATGAAATCCAGCTTTTCTGCCTCAAGAATGTAAGGTACCCAAAACAACTAAGAAAGTATAAGGAATAACATTGAACTCCCTATTCAGCTACACAAAGGAAAGCTAGGAATGTGGCAAAATCATTTTTCTACAAATTGTCACCATTCAGAAAAAACAACCAAATCATTCTGCACGCTCATGCGCATCTTTTACCTAGCTAGGAAGACATTTGGGAAAATCCTAGACAGACAAGTCAACTTGTGATAGATCACCGTAGGAAACACTTAAATATTTCTTTAAATGGTGCTTTAAAAGAGAAGAGTCATATACTTTTTTAAAGTAAATTTCTACTATTTCACTGCCTCCCCAAAGTTGTGAATAGCTTCCCTTGAGTTCGAAATATTAATTTTCAGTGTATAAAAATTATCACACCTGCTGAGTATTTTTCTCTTAGCTTAAAGTAAAAGCTTTGGACTCTATCAGGTACTCATTCTTTTACTCATGAAGATTTTACTTTGCATACCACTGTGAAATAAATTGAAAGAAGATATTGCAGTTCTTTGACTTGAATTTTCTTTCAGCTCAAAAGTGCCAGATTGATATTGGCATGAAAAGGAAGTGGCTGACAAGGGCTGGGGCAAGAGCTGAGCACAGAACAGGGTAGCACTGTGCATAACTTCTAAGAGCTTGCCATTGCCTTTCAGACTTCACCTACATCTACTGCTCCTCAAGCCACAGTCCTACTCGATCTGACTGCTACCTGCCTAAAAAGTCTTAGAAAGCAGTTTCATAGTATAGAATAAAAATTAATCTACTTCAGAAGAGACACTGCTAGCTAAATTCATCTTTTCAGTAATAACAAACACTGTAAGACGATTCACTTCATTTACACAAATCCATGCAGTGTTCCTTCTGACAGCTTTCAGGTTTAATACCTGTGCACAGAAATCAAAGCATGAAATATGTTGGAAGGAGAAAAGAAAAGCTGAGGAAGTAACTGACCAATTTAAGGAGAGGATGTAGGTGCAACACTCAGATCAAAAAACAGCAATCAGCTGCTCTTAATCTGTTGCCCAATTTTAATATTCTCAGATAGATCTAACTGAGCCACATTGAATATGTATGTGCAGCTTTAGCCACCTTTATTGGATTTATCTCAAATCAAGGAAGATAATTCAGCCCAGGAGCAAAAGGGAGTGGTTGGGAGAGCTTCTGGTAAGGCATTTGCAGCTTGAAACATGGTCTCAGCATCACTCCTCCAGACACAATCAGATTTTCTGCCTGTGCTACAGATATAGAAAAGGTGCATTTCAGGATATTCTTCTACCTTGGTCTGCAATTTTTAATGTAGTGAACGTGCTCCAAGAGGGCCATATACTTATACTTTAGAAATTGGCTGAAATAAATAACATCCACAAAAGTTATCTGTATGTACATCATGCACACATGTCTTGCTGTCAGTGAATCAGATGCTCTACATTTCTACAATACACACAGTTCAAGATTTATAGAACCTAATGCACATGTACAGATCAACAGACATTAATACAGCAACCTCAGGCCAGTTCATCTTTGATTACTGCTAATGATGCTACAAAAGGCTACTAACTTGGACAGCGGCTGTGTGAGGGGTCATAGTTGTAATTAAAATAAATTGTGTTTCTCATTACAAAGACTTAGTCATGAGCTTCTTACCACACAGCAACAGTGAACAGGGTAACTCCATTACTCTCATATATGGTCAAATGCATCTATTAACTAAACCACCTTCTTGTGGTTGCTTTGTTTTAAATCAAGGAGTATTTCCTCAGCTAAGTGTGAAGCAGCTCTCAACCTGTATAAGCATCACATATATTAAGGCATGTAATACAACACTAATCACAGTGGTACTCAGTTTCTATTCATTTATTTTTTTAATTACAGCATGAGACAGCTCAACTATGTCAGATGTTCAGCAGTTCAGTGGAACAATGGAAGTAATTATGAAAACAAAAAGCAAACACAATTAACTAGATTTAATGCTCTACTATAAAAACCTTTTCCAAATACTTCATACCTTTCCTTGCATTTGTTACAGTTAATCTTATCCCAGTAATCTTCCATTTGTTTTCATAGTCACTAAAATGAATATATACAGTAAAAGCTACTCATACACCAATCCTGTGCCCTGGCTTTGTTGTGTTTCTTAAATTAATGTTATCTAATTCTTCCTGCTTTTCCACATTTGGAGTTACAGAGTCAATGAACAATTTCTACTGTAAAGTTTTTCCCTTGGCTCTTTGTTAATGTAGCATCTATCCCTTATGAGAAATTTTTCAGCTTTCTGCCAGACTCAAAATACAAATAACCTATAGAAAAAAGCAATATCTTAGCCAATATGTTTCTGTTTTTCTTTAAAATTTTGCTGGTGTGGGGTTATAATGAGTTTACTCCCTGATAGTCAGTTTTTCATCTTGCACCTTTACAGTTTTCCAAGTATGGAAGTTGGTTGTCATATTAAAAGTTTGGTACCATAAAGGCAGGGTGTTTAATAAACCCAGCATTATGAAAGAAAAGATTAAAGGAGTAAACAGTAAATATTTATTTAAATAAATATCCCTTTGTTAATATACTCCACTTCTCAAGTTCTTTGAACAGAAACAGCTTTTTGAAGGAGAATGCCACCTCTACTCTCACCAACCTCTTCTTCTCCACATGGAATAATGAGCTACAGATTCAAATCTAAGTCTCCCTTTGCTCCCAAACTCTGAATTTTCTTGGCATTGGAGATCTTTCCCTGAATCAGACTGCTTAATTCTATGGTGTTGTGATTTTAAAAAAGGGTTTGAAGTAAAATCACGCTCAGCATCCACCTCAGAAGCTCTGTGAAGCCACTTTAAAAGAAAATATTACAGCAGTTTCCAA